ATCTATTCTTTTCCTTATTTACCAGGAAGGGATCTAAGGCGAATGGGATGAGCTCTCATCTCCAGACCACAGGAAATAATAAATTTGGAAGAGTTTCCTGTGGCCTCCAGCTGAAGTCTGGGATTCCCTCGGCTGTTCCCAAAACAGATTCTCGGCATTAACAATTCTGTGTTGGATGGGAAATGAACCAGGTGCCCGACTAAGAACCAGCACCCAAGGACTCTTCTTCTTCCTCTAGAACTGTCTCTCAACCTTGACTGCTGACATTATGGGCCAGACCCTTCTTCATTGTCGGGGCCGCCCTTTGGCTTGTAGGATGTCCAGCAGCATCTCCAGGTCTACCCAGTAGCACACCCCAAGTTGTGACAACCAGCACTGTCTCCATATGCTGCCAAAGGCCCCGGGTGGCAGAACCACCCACCTCAGTTTGCAACCTCCTGTGGACGAGGTCAAGAGCAAAGTCAGCACATGCTCTGAAAAGCTCAAGCTAGATATTTTCAGCCTGTTGTTCACTTGTGTTCTGTTTCCTGCCGAGTCCCCTGGTGATTGAACTATGTGAACATTCATATTTTGTTAGTTCTCAGACTTGAATGCCTTAGCTTTCCGCTTCCTGGAGCTTATTGTGCTTGTAGTCAGGACCTCAGTGGCCCTCCCACTCCCAGACGCTCGTTATTTCACGATCGGCCAGAATGGGTTCCCTGTCGCCCTTGTGTTCTCTTGCCTTAAAAAGGTCATCGATCTGAGGCTCTCAAACAACCGTTCCAGCACAGGTTCCAAGGGCAGCATGAAGGAGCTGAGGAACGTGTTTCGAGGGAGCGGGAGGCCTGTGCATGGGCTCTGACGTTCCCCCAGGACCAGACACCTAATCGTATTCCTAAAATAGCTGTTACCACTTCCCTCCCTTCGCCCCTCCCTCCTTCTCTCTCCTGTTTCTTTTCTAACTTAATGCCATGTAATTTATGAGTTACGGTTTAAGTATAAGTCTCACTCTCTTCTGTAAAGGAAAGAAGCTTGGTAAGAGAATAAAATGTTTGGAAAATTTAAAGAAAAGACCCCGCGAAGGCTCTCTTCCCAGCCCTGCAGGAGTGGGCTCCTAGATCTAATTATAATGCCTTCATCAGCTTGATCCTTTGAGATGGGTTAGAAGGGTTTGCAGAAATCAGGGAATTAACAATGGAAATCTTAAAAACAAAGAAAATTCCCTGTACTTGGCCAGAGCCCATCTATTTATTTATTTAATGTTACTAACTCACATCCATAAGGAGGTTACTCTTCACCCAGAATTCACACCTGTGTTCTCAGCAGCTAGGCTGTATTAAGATTGGGGCTGATTCTCAGGATGGGTCAGCTCTCAGCGTTCATTATCCTCTCTACTCTGCCTCTTCCATGTTTTCGCAAGAAAACAGGCTGCTCTGTGTACAGGAGGAGCCCTTTCCTTTAATCTGGTGTGTCTGGCTCCTGCCCCCGAAATTGGTTTAATGGGTCCATTGCTGTGTACTGTTAAGATAATAAAGCGGGACTGCCCTCCGCTGAACACAATGGACAGTTTGTGTGGGGAAGGCAGCTACCATTGGCTGAGTGCCTTTTATGTGCCTGGCCCTCGGTATCCATGTTTTCTTTCCATCTGTGCTACCTGCACTTTATTGGGTGAAGATGTGGAGAATCAGGGTGTTGGGAAAGCATGCCCGTGTTCACGCAGCAAACAGTGATGCTGGGTTTGGACCAGGAGCATTGGATCCAGAAGCTTAGATGATTCACGGAGGCCATATCCATCCCTGGTGTGTAAGGGCCAATGACAGCTGGGTTTGAATCCTGGCTCTGTCATAAATTCTGTTGATTTGGGCAAGTCACTTAACCCTCCTGAGCCAGAGTTTCCCCATCTGCAAAGTGGGGGTGATACTTAACTTGCCTCCCAGGGTTACGGCGAGGGTTTGCCCATGAAGAGCACTTGGCAGAGCCTCGCCAGGCTCAGAGTGGCACAGAGTGGTTGCCCTTACACACAGCACATTTCCGTAACAAACTGGTTCCCTGTGTCAAGAAGTAGGGTGCATGAAAGTCTGCAGAAATCTGGGATTGGGGCCTTGGGCACCCGCTCCGCTTCCGGCAGGAAGCCTTCCTGTGGGTGGGCACAGGGCAGGACCCAAGCTGGCCAAGCATTGCCGATGGATGGCTCTGAGCCTAAATCTTTCCAGTCTGTTCCAGAAGAGCGCAGGGCAAGGGAAAAAAGCAGTCTCCAGACAACTTGGAGAATGCTAGAAGACACTGGTCCAGGCTGGAGGTGAGGGCTGGGGTGAAGTTTAGTAACATCCTAAGCCATGAGAAGGGAGAGCAGGGCGCAAAGCTAGCATTGGGTCTGACTGGAGCGTTTTCCTCATATACCAGCTCTCATCATCTCATCCGTCCCTGGGCAGCTGCACTGATCCTGAAGAACCCAGTACAGCTCCAGGGGTCCCATCCCAGGCACTCTCCCTACCTATAGGGTTCTCTTCCGGGTACCCATGAATAGGACATCAGTTATCTCATTTCCGTATATTTTGAATTCGGAAAGAAGGTGGCATTTGAAGGGAAGAATCTGGCTGGTGGACGGGTCCAAAATAGAAGGCTTTGTCTGGGAAAAATGATGGGGAAAAAAGAGTGAAGGGAGCCAAGAAAGGATAGAATGGCCAACAGGAGGGGTCCGGATGAGACACGGTCTCCAGCTACATCCATTTGGAAATAATTTGATTGGGTTCAGAAGGTTCTAGGAGGGATAAAGAAAGGAGGGATGATGCAAGGGAAGAAACCCTGAGAATTTTGCCTCAGAGCAAATAACTCATCAGTCTTTGAAAACCAGCTAAACATTTTCCAGGTGCACTGCCCAGAAAGATGGCCAGATTTGTTGCCAGAGATTAAGAGAGTTTAGATCTTGAGTTTTGACCAAGAATCACCTTGGTCTAGGGCAGAATCACCTTATGCCTTCATAAAGTAAGCCCTGGCATAGTCCTCTCAAACGAGTTGTAATAACATACAGGGATGCCTTGATGAAACAGAATTTTTGATTCATCTTCCTAAAGACGGGCTGACGTGTTACAGGCTGACTCTGTAGTAACTGATTAAAGGAATCAGTCATGCTCTTCAAGAATTACTCAGGCTATGTCAGCTCGTTTCTGTTGTGGGAATCCCAGTAAAATGAATTACTGTGTCGTCGTCAACCTAGGCATGCTCTCAACGTTGCCATGGAAACCAGCATTAAGACTGGCGGGTCAAGAAAGCAAAGAAAAATAATTGGTGCTAAACATCGATAAAATATACCAGAAGTACAACAGAATGAAAAAAAAAATCATCACGATGCCCGGCACCAAGCTGAGACTAATTAGGCTCAGCACTAAATCATAAAACTAAAATCACGGAGGCGTTTTCTCAGAGACACTGGAGAGAAAGCTGGGCAAAGTCTTTATAAATACGTATCGTCACCTGTAGCCACGTTTGCACAGCTGCGGGCACAGCAGCGATGGGCTCCCGGTGATTCTTGGACACATGCCATCCCCAGAGACTTGCTGGAAGCAGGAAGAGGCATTGGCTGGTCCCTGCTGAGAAGCACTGTCCATGGAAATGGTGTCTTGCAGCTGGGACCAGGGAGAGGTTAACAGCCTGAGCTAGGCTGCACTGGTGGCCTATTGTTTTTCCGATAGGTAACTAGTGCGGTCTGCTTGGATGTTGGGAGGCGCGGGAGAGGGGGCCCAGAGCTGCTTGGCACCAGCTAGGATCCCTCCCTCGAGGACAGTTTGTGAGACCTCCAGGTTTTAGGAGCATAGCCGCTGGAATCAGCTGTCTGTCCCCTACTGGTGTTTTTTAAAGTGCATTTTTCCTGTTTGTTTCTTTGCTGCATTACCTGGGGTTGTGGTATTCTGTCACACCTTGGTCATTGCAATACACGAAGAAGGCTGGGGCAGGGCTGGAGAAAGCATTTCCCTTCTGTGCGGTTGCACAACTGATAGAAGGAACGGGCTCTGAGGGGCTCCTGGATGGCTCAGTCGGTTAAGCAGCTGCCTTTGGCTCAGGTAGTCCTAGGATCGAGTCCCGCATGGGGCTCCTTGCTCAGCGGGGAGCCTGCTTCTCCCTCTCCCTCTGCCTACTACTCTGCCTACTTGTGCTCTCTCTCTCTCTGTCAAATAAATAAATAAGATCTTTTAAAAAAAAAAAAGAAAGAAAGAAAGGAAATGGGCTCTAAGAGGTTGGGAGATGGAGGCTGCTGCTCACTCAGGAATGAGAGCCCTGACAGCTGATGGCAAGCTTTGGGTGGTCTTCCACACCTCCGTCTGCAGGCGCTCTCCCCCCTGGGCCTTTAACTGCAGCCTGGTCCTTAGCACGAATTTCTTTCATACAGCAGTTTAGACCGGGGGGAACTCTACTGTACAGTGTCAGGTTGGGCCAATCAAATACACTCCGTTCATTTTCAAATGGTCCCCATTTTTGCTGTTTTGCTGGAAAGAAGGAAAAGGCTGTGCTTCCGGGAAATCCAATTTTCAAGTAATTCATTTAGATCCATTTTATAATTCCGTGGGTTGTGCCCTTGTCAACCCCAAAGCTGCAAGTCTTAAGGACACAGAATGTCTTGACTCAAGCGGCCCCATTTTAAGGGGACAGGTATTTAGCCCACGGACCTAAAGTATAAGAGCAGAGCATAATAATATGTATTCTGCCGTATACTAATAACAGTAATAAGCTGAACAAAGAGCTTACATTTTGCTGAAAAGCAATGTGAGAGCATCAATGAAATCACGTGTAGGTTTCACTAGTTCGGTAAAAGCCATCGTGGAGCTGTGCAAAAGAGGCTTCCCTCGAAGATGTCAGCTCCGGAGGTAATATTCACCGTCTGCCCAAGGAGAAACCCTCGATCTGATAACCGTGGGAACGTGGAGATTGGGGAGGGTTCCGAGATGTGGCTCTGCATGTTCAAGTTGTGGACACACGTTTCTCTTTCCCGTCTCGTGCAGGAAGACGGACTCACCAGGACAAACATGAGGAGCGCAGCCAAGCCCTGGAATCCGGTCCTCAAAGCAGGCAGCCATGGGACAGACCGGGCTCGGCCCCTCCCAGCGGCGCCCTCCGGCATGAAGAGTTCCAAATCTTCCACCTCGCTGGCGTTTGAGTCCCGGCTCAGCAAGGTACAGACCCAAATGCCCCCACGTGGCCCCTGGGGAGCCCCGGGCAGGAGGACTAAAAAGGGCGGTAAGCGAGACTAGTGGCCTGTCAAGGTCAGGAAGGAGGCTACCTGGAGGGTCCCATGAGAACCAGCCCATCCTCACCCAAAGGAGCAGAGCAAAGGGTGGAGGGGAGCAGGGGGGCTCCGGGCTTGAGAAAGGAAATGTGCAACGTGTTTAACAAAGAAACTAAGATTCCCCTGCCCTGAATGATGTGGACTCCCTGGTTGGAGTTTTGCCCCCAGCACCCTAGCCGATGGGGGTCAGGACCACCAGGGATCTCCTCCGTCCTGATCATGGAGTTGTCAATTCTCCATCTCATCTCACTTGCCCATCAGTAGCCTTAACTTAATCGATTACGCCCTCCGTGTGGGAAAGCCTTCTCTTGGTTTCCTCCTCCCTCCCCGGTGGCCCCGCAGGGTATCCCCTGCTGGCTCCTGCTTATCCTCTGGGTTTCTAATGTCAGGTGGGCCCAGGGTGCAGTTTCAGGGGGAGGGGTCTCATCTCTCTTCTAGCTGCTGTGTCAGCCCCAAAGCCTCCCTTACCGTCTTGAGATGCGATTCAGAAATCGTATCACCTGCCGACAAGCGTACTCTTGAAAAATCAATACAACATCCTAACTATAAGAGAAAATAAGAGCCAATTCGTGTTTAATTAAGTAATCTGTGTTTGCATTTGCATGTGCTTGAGCGTGACCACTGACAGACCCATGGTGCTCCTTAGAGCACCGAGGATGGGGCAGCTGTGTACGAAGTACGTTGTTTTTCTCCGTAAAACCAAGGGATGCTCGAGGCTCAGATAATGATGAAAAGGTGCTTCCCCTCTGTGAATGTCTGCAGAATGTGTGAGAACTCTGTGGGATATGGGACCACGTTTGTGCAACCTTGCCACAGGTGTTGTAGGGCGTCTGGGTTCCCCATACTCCCACCCATTAAACACAAGCAGCACCTCTAATCAGGGGGGTGACTAAACATGCCCCTCCCCCGCAATTTCCAACATGATCCCTGAGTGAGGGTCAGCACTGGCTGCGTCGAGAACAGTTGCTCTAGTGTTAGCGGCTGTTCCCGTGAATTTTAATACACGGGGACACTTGAACATGGGTTTGAGCGGCAAGTCCACTTAGGTGCCGATCTTCTATAGAGCAGTCCTGTAAGGGTATTTTCTCTCCTGATTTTCCTATCGTTTTCTTCTCTCTAGCTCACTTTCCTATAGGAACACAGTATGTAATATGTGTCACATACAAACGAGGTATTAATTGACTGTCTATGTTACCTGTAAGGCTTCTGGTCAGTAGTAGGTTATGAATAAAGTTTTGGGGGAGTCCGTAGTCATACCTGGGTTTTTGACTGCGTGGGTCTTGTCACCCCTATGTTGTTCAAGGGTCGACTGTATATGGGGGTGACATACGAATTTGCATCTCCACCCAGGAGCCCTCCAGCTGCTTTTGTGACATCCCCACTTAGATGTCTAAAAGGCACCCAGAGGGGCGCTTGAGGGGCTCAGTCGGTTAACCGTCTGACTCTTGGTTTCAGCTCAGATCATGATCTTGGGGTCATGAGATCGGGCCTCCTGTCGAGCTCTGTCCTCAGCATGGAGTCTGCTTGAGAGTCTCTCCTCTGCCCCTCCCCCACTCACGTGTGTGCTTTCTTTCTAAAATAATCTTAAAAAAAAAAAAAAAATCAATCAAAGGCAGCTAGAATGTAACAAGTCTAAAACAGACATCCTTCCCTTCCCTCTCACGCCCCCCTGAATCTTCCCCTTTGAGTCATTTCATCTTCTCAGCAGCTCAGGCCCACGCCACGCCACCGCCTTGGGCCCTGCTTTTCTCACATGCCACAGGCCATCAGCAAAACGCCATCATTTCTGCCTTCCAAATCGATGTCAGCTTCAGCCAATGGCCACCGCCTGGCTCCCTTGGGACCCCCAGGCTCTTGCCGCCACCTTCCTTGCATGGCCTTCCTGAAGCATCCCCGTCCTTTTTGTCTTTGCACCCCACCTTCCCTTCTCAGCAGAAGCCAGAGTGGTCCTCTCAGCACGTATGTGCCATCACATCTCCACTGAGAAGCCCCTCGGGGCTCCCCATTTCGCTCAGGGTGAAAAGCAAAGTCCTTGATAAAGCCGGGGACGCCCTGGAGATCCCATCGCCTCTCAGATGTCTTTGCCGTCCCCCCTGCCCTGTTCCCCTGGGCTCCAGCCACATGCTCTCCTGGTGCCCAGTGGCATTGCCCCTCCATGAGCTAGACGCACCCCTGCAGCAGCCGGTTTGCGGCTCCTCTGCCTGGAGCATTCCTCTTCCCCCTACCCCTGCTCCTCTGCCAGTTCTTCTTTAGTCTATACTCAAATGTCACCTTGTCAGAAGTCATCGCTGGTCACTCAATGGAAAGTGCCCCGTGGGCCCCCACGCACCCTCCTCGCCCTCCACTTTCTGGCTGTGAGACTCAGGCAAGCTACGTACTGTCCTGAGCTCTGAGATGAAGGTAATACCTTATTTAACTCAAGGAGTAAATGAGCACAAAGTGCCCTACATACAATTTTGTTTATCATTCCATTATGCTGGACTTGCCCATTATTTCCATGGTTTTTATTTTTATTATCTTTCACCTGTAGCACATTTGGGAGACTTTTTTGTTTTTTTTTAATTTTTTAAAAATTTTATTTATTTGACAGAGAGAGAGCATGAAGCAGGCTCCCCACAGAGCAGAGAGCCTGACATGGGGCTTGATCCCAGGACCTCAGGATCATGACATGAGCCAAAGGCTGATGCTTAACCAACGGAGCCACCCGGGCACCCCAAGGAGACATTTATAATATAGATTTTAAATTAATATATACTTAAGACCCTTAGAGCTTCTGGATCTATCAAAATGTTTTTGAAAGCAGTGTTTAATAAAAAAAGGTCTGAAGCTCAGGCAGGTTTCCTAAGGACAATGAAATGTTGGCTGCTTCTGCCCCTGACAGGTAAATGTTTTTGGAAACTTGTCCCATGGGGAAAATGTCAGGGGAAAAGCAAACATCCATGTTGCCATCTTGATGCTTGGGGTCTCCCAGTCTTACTCTATAAAAGAGAAAGCATTTGAGAGAAGGGGTAGCAGAAGGAGCCGTACCGAGTCTGTGCCTCTCTGGCCCTCGGCATGTTTCTGCGTTTTGACCAGTCTCCCCTTCCTGCCTCTCGCCACGCGTAAAGGATTTGTGTCCCCCCGTCGTTTACTGTGGAAATGGCAAGCACCAGAGACGTTGAATGACTGTGACACCCATACGCCAGCTACCTGGACGCTACAGTTGCCATCTTTACCATATTTGCTTTATAGTAAGTGGACACATATGGCATGGATATATTTGAACTAGTCACAAATAGGAAAACGAGGGGTGAGGGGCCAGGAGCCCAGATGGCCTGGAGGATGTCGCTGTGGGTCTTCCATGGGCTGCTCAAGCCCAGCACGGGAACAGAAAGCCCTGGGGTGCTCAGATGCAGACAGGCCACTTCGTTCTGGCGATTAATAAGGTCCACGTCTATGAGTCAGGACCCCCTTCATTGCAAATAGCAAAGCAATGGCTTAAGGACCTTCAGCAGAAAAGAAATGGGTTGAGCTTATCTGAGGTTCCCATGTCACTGAGGGTAGAACAAAGGGCCAAGTCTGCCACTCAGAGAGGCCAGGACCAGGGACTGGAACACACCAGAACTCTTTCTCTGTCACCCATCTCTGCTCACTTCTGCCCCCACTGCTCCTGTCTCCTGCTAACCTCTGGTCTCCTTTGGCTTGTGTTACAAAGCATGGCTGCCAGCATGCCCATGCCCCCAACATCCCTTGGAAGACCTGACTGCTTTGCTTACTTCTGATTACTTCCTTTGGTTTCGTCTGATTTGTCTTAAAAAAAAAAAAAAAAATCAGGGGCGCCTGTGTGGCTCAGTGGGTTAAAGCCTCTGCCTTCGGCTCAGGTCATGATTCCAGGGTCCTGGGATTGAGCCCCGCATCGGGCTCTCTGCTCAGCAGGGAGCCTTCCTCCTCTCTGCCTATCTGCCTGCCGCTCTGCCTACTCGTGATCTCTGTCTGTCAAATAAATAAATAAAATCTTTTAAAAAAAAATCAAACAACAAGCAAAAAACTCGGAAAAGTCTCTGCTTGGCTAGGCATGAGACATATACTGCCCCTGACCAATCCCCTGTGGGTAGGGTGGCTGGGGCTCCCTGCCCTTGGAAAGCAGGGACTTGTAGTTTAAGCATGTTCTGTGTGAGGCTTGGGGACCCAGCTAGTCTTATGTAATCATTCTCCAGAAGTGCTCCCCACCTGTGCTGCCTCAAACAGTAGCCACCAGCCACGTGTGGCAGTTGAACCCCTGAAATGTCAGAATTAAGTGTGCTTTAAGTGTGAAATACACACTGAGTGTGACGAGTCAGTGCCAAAAAATATATAAAATGCCTTATTAATATGTTTTACACTAACTGATAATATTTTTGAATGTGCTAAGAAAATATGTTCTTTTTTTTAAAAAGATTTTATTTATTTGACAGAGATACATAGCGAGAGAGGAAACACAAGCATGGGGAGTGGGAGAAGGAGAAGCAGGCTCCCCAATGAGCAGGGAGCCCGATGTGGGATTGATCCCAAGACCCTGGGATCATGACCAGAGCTGAAGGCAGACACTTAACGACTGAGCCACCCAGGCGCCCCTAAGAAAATATATTCTTAACATTAATTTTACCTTTCATCTCACTTTGTTAATGTGGCCCCTAGCCATACATGGCTGGTGTTATATTTCCACCAACAGTTCTGTGCTAAACCGTTGGTTCTCAGAGTGTGGTCCCCAGGTCAGCAGCGGCAGCAGCAGCACCAACCGGGAACTTGTTAGAAATGCAGATTCTCGGGTCTTGCTCCAGACCTTGGAAATCTGAAACTTGGGGATGGCAGGGGAGGGGAGGCAGATTGGAGGCTGGGGTGTAGGCAACTGTCTGCATTTTAACAAAC